TGTCTTTTTAAAGCAATCAAAGCAATGCTTAAAAACTAGCAATTCCTAAAGAAAGAGCCAAGAGACCTTAGCAACCCCTCCTCGTGAAAATATAGAAGCTGAAAGGAGAAATGGACCCGTCTGGTGGCCACTTAAGGTCTTCGGTAGGCAACCTAAGGAATAGGCCTGCATCTGTTCCCAGAGATGAAGGGCTCTGGCCTGGCCTGTGTGGCTCAGTGGTTGAGCGCCGACCTATGAACCAGGAGGTCAGGGTTCGATTCCCCGTCACGGCACACGCCCGGGTTGAGGTTAGCTGGCAGGGCAGGGACTCACGTTCCCAATGACCTCGGAGAGCAGAGACCGTGACCTCGGGCAGGTGGGGGCCCTTCGGAGCACGCTCACGGCTCACTTTCTGGGGTTTTAAGGTGGTTAAGTGCCTTCTGTCCTCCCTGCTAACTTGTGTCCCAGCATTTTGGCCTCTACAGTGTTTTCACTCGTACAGGAGGCACTTTAATATTATAATCCCTGGACCTGGCTGGTGTGGCTCAGTGGATAGAGTGTTGGCCTGCGGACTGAAGGGTCCCGGGTTTGATTCTGGTCGGGGCGCATACCTGGGTTGTGGGCTCCATCCCCAGGAGGCAGCATGCAGGCGGCAGCCAATAGATGATGTTTCTCTCTCATCCATGTTTCTATCTTTCTATACCTATCTTCTCCCTTCTTCCCCATCAATAAAAACATTTTTTTTTTTTTTTTAAAAAAAGGAGCCATATGTCGTGCAGGAACAGGAAGAGGAAAAAAAGGGGCCAGGTGAGACTCCTGCTCCATTTTCTCCAGCTGTACCCACTGGACTCAGGACGCCCCTGGTGGTCAGCGCTAGTACTGCACCCTGAGCTGGGGGACAAAACAGTAGGATCTGCAGAATCCGGGAGGTTTTAAGGGGGAAAAACTCCTGTCCTCCCAGTCACCTCCTCTGCCCCCCTGGGAAGAAGCCCTGACTGACACCATGGGGTTCCGCTCTGGCGGTCACAGCCCCCGGCGGCCACTTGGTGGCGCCCAGACCCCGTGCTGGCGGCCCTGCCCGGCTCCCCCTCTGCGGTTCCT